ACGGAAAGTTGCTGTCGAGTCCTTCTGAAGCCTTCTCTTCTCTAGGCTCTATCTCCTTTTGATTGGGAAGCGCTATAAAAGATGCCATCACAATGTCTCTCTGACTGAGCGCCCTTCTGATCCTAACCCATAGGCTCTTGACCAGCCTGTTGTCCTGGCAATATCAAAGCTTTGCGCATTGAAGACACTCCTTTGAAGATACCCCAATGGCATCCTTGTCTAAGAAGCTAAGGCCGTGCAGGTATGTGAACCATCCCATCATGTCTCTGCAAATCCAAGGACATCACAATGACTTTCATTTCCTCCCAGCATGCCTGCTGGCAAAGACACTTTTGCCCCACACTGTTGAGTTGATCCCACCTGCTCCCAGCAGTCCCCCGTTCTTGAAAAGGGTCCTGTGGTCATAGTGTCCAAAGCGCAGCCGTGACATCAGATGCACAGATGTGAATACACAGGATGCATCCACCCCTTCCCAGGTGTTTCCACTTAAATGGCAGGATGGAGAACATTGCTTAGGCTCCATCCCTTCACAAGAGCCCCAAAGTCATCCTTGACCTGCTGGAGTAGCACTAGCACCCACACGAAAAAGTAGAAAATTCTGATGCCTGGCCAGGCCCTGGCAACTTCTGTGATGCCCTGGATTCAGTCCCTGGGGAAGCAGCAAACCTTGGAAGTCCTCAGGTCTGCTCAGCAGATGGATATTTCCGTTCCCTGCATCAGGGAGTCTTCAATCCAAATTACCCATTGCTTTCTCTTAGTGGCATTGGTTCTGAGCAGTTGACCAGGCACAGCTGATCCAAACACCTCCCTTGCCAGAACTCACTCCTCCTCTCCTGTTTCCAGGCACGAAACATTTTATTAAATCTAGATTATTATTAGCCTCACGTATTTGTGTTATCGAGGATGACAGCAAGTATGGTTCTATCTTTCCATTAACTTACCTGAAAGAGACTGCTTGAGAGTGGACAGGAAATACTGTAGTTCTCAACAGTGATGCCTAAGATTTAGGCTTCTCAAAGTCAAAAACATAGATGGAAGCAGTATAAACACAGCTGCTTATTAAGATAGCAAAAAAAAGCAGCGAAGTAAATATTCCTTAAACTGTAAAAAAGAAAAAAAAAAGAAAAAATCTCATCTTTATACACACGTTAAAACCAAAATGCATACACAAAATGCTCTGTAGAACCAAGGAAGTTGATTACTTGTCCATGCCATGATGCATGCTGTTAATATTGAGTGTGTGCACAGACCTCTAATGCCAGACTTCACAGATCTCGCTGCGGTCAGGAACAAAGCCAAAGCCGTAAATGTAACACTCGATTTTCAGGGGAGATGGGAATGTGGAAAAGAGTTTGGGAAATTCTCCTACGAGGATGCCTTTGAATCTCTCCAAAGAACCACAGAACATTTTCTACAGCCTCCAGGCACTGGGATGTGGCACAAGGGCATTCCTCCATCTCCAAGGTCAATCCAGCACGGCCAAGGCTGCTCAGCACATCCCTTTCCTGCAGACATGCATGGGAGGAAACTCCCCCTTCTGTCACTGGACCATACAAGAGAGGGGAGGGA